CTTCTCCAGACCTTGATGGAGCTCCAGAGAAGAAACATCTTTCCTGGGAAGGAAAACATTGGCAGCATTAATTATAGTTAATGCCAACTGCTAAGAAAAAGGTAAACAATGAGGCAGATCTCAACAAACTAGAGATTTAAAGCCTGTTTCTGGATTGTGTTAATGGCCTCCTGGTGCTTCAGCTTGTGGTGCAGGAAAGGGCTGGAGCTTTGTGGGAAGGGAGGGACTAGTTGTTACCTTTAATGGCTTTCTTTATCTTTCACAAGAATTGGAAGTATTGTTTAGAAAATTGAAAAATGATGGTCTTACATAGTCCTGTGTCTTCAGGACCTGGAGTAAAAGATTTAAAGATCATTTAACCACTGGATAAAATGGTAAATGAGCAACATTATCAAAGTGCATGCAGCACATCTGGCTGCCTTCTCTTTAAGCCATCTGAGTTTGTGATGGAAGTATCGTACGGTAAGCCTCTACCACAACAAAAAACTGGGATAAGTATGCACTAATACAGGAAAAATTGTGTTTGTTTTTGTTATTTTATGACTGTGTAGATCCTCACTTCCTTTGTCAAGACACTTTGTCAAGACCAACCATCCGTATAGGACTAATATGCTCTACACCCAGATTAGAACTCATTAAAAAAATTTCCTTAAAAATTATTCTCTTTATTTTTTATGAATTTTAACTTCCCCCCCCCCCACACACACACACTGAAACATTTGATTATTGAAATTGATGCTTAGTTTCTTGGGAAAACAACTGTAATGAATGGAGGCTTTCACACTAGGACCTTACCAGAGTTGTGGTTCAGCCAGCCCAGAGGCTGTTCTCTCTCAGGTTGGTTCCTCACCCATAGCACTGCATTCTGGGGAGCTCTGCTCCTCAGCAGCAAAGCAGGGAGTATCAACAGTTCTCATCAGCCATTTTGGAGGCTTTTCTAAAACACATTTACACATTTGTTCTATTTTTTAATTATTATTTTTTAAATATCTTTTTAACCAAAGTATAGAATCACCTGGGTTGAAAAGGACCACAGTGATCATCCAGTTTCAACCCCCTGCTATGTGCAGGGTCACCAACCACCAGACCAGGCTGCCCAGAGCCACATCCAGCCTGGCCTTGAATGCCTCCAGGCATGGGGCATCCACAGCCTCCTTGGGCAACCTGTTCCAGTGCGTCACCACCCTCTGTGTGAAAAACTTCCTCCTAATATCTAACCTAATAACCTGGATGTTTCTATCGCTTTTTTTTCCTTCCCATTTATTTTTCTTTTTTTCTTATAAAAAAAAAAAAAAAAAAAAAAAAAAATTCCTTGCAAAGCAAGAGGGAAGTGCTGCTCAACTGGTACAAACTACTTTTGCACTTGTGCCATTTGGCACTTGATGCAGTTATTATTTATCTGTATTGCCGTCGTGCCTGTGAGCCCTGATAGAGACCAGAAACATGCAATAAAGAGCAATGCTTCTGTCGTGAAGGTGAGTAACAGATTTTAAGCTAATAACAAATTCCTATCTTTGTTTGACAGATCCCTTAGTACCTTTCAGACCATGATAACAATTGAAATATAGAGGAGTAAAAATAAGGACGTGTTGAGGTTTATATTCTGTAAGATGCCAAATCTGGAAAAAATGCTAGAATATATGCGAGATATGCACTAAACACAACAAGCAGAGACCTTTTAGCAGTTAAAAACAAGAACTAGGTCCTTCTACTCCATCAAACATAAGATAGAAAAGTATTTTTATATATTTTTGTTACGCTCAGCAATAATGCATAATATTGAATTGCCACCTCCCCTTTGAGGCATATGAGTGCATTCTCTGACATCTAATGTGGTGACAACCTCAAAACCCTATGTGCTTCTCGTTCTTTTTGTTTACTCTCTAACTAGTTGCTTTATCATCTTGATTTTTGTAGGAAAGAAGAAAAAATCAACACAAAACCCATAGATATAAGAGCACTACCCCTCTTCCTATGTATATGAAAGTGATCAAAGGCTCGTAGTGCTTATGTGATACACACACACAGAATGACTATACAAAGGACATACAGCAGTGTAGCTAACAGCTGCTCCCTCCTAAAAGTCTTTCAGCATTCTGCAGAGCCCAGGGACCCAAAAACCTTACTAAACAGTCTCCTCTATATCAAATTAATTAGGAAATTTGTTTTAGAGGCATGTTTCCAGTTTTGCCTTCATGTTAGCATTTCCAAACTTTCCCTGGAACCAGGTCTAGTGTTTTAAAGCAAATGCCATGTGGGAGGAGAGCAATAGTGCTGAGCAAGAACAGGAGCAGCACGGGATGGCTGCCTGCCAGGTTCTGCATCGTCATCCTGAAATCCAGTTCTGCAGGAGCTGTGAGTCACTTCCATGGATGTAAAAGTAGAAAGTTTATACAAACCCCAGGAGAGCTGTGGAGTTCTGTTGCCAATGCCCTGCTGGCTGCTAGCTCTAGAGTTTCTTGCCTGGTTCTCTCCATCTCACCCCTGGATTTTCAAAGTCCTCAATTGTTCATTAATTGTCTGCCTTATCTCTATAGCCATGCTAGTTTTGTCACTCAGGAGCCGCAGGCAAAACAAGCGCACTGACCTCAGGAGGAGAAAAGGGAGGGTCGATGGATCACATCGTGCCAAGTTCATACCTGCACAGTGTCTGACCTGCCAAATGGAGTCAGGGTGTCTCCCTTTGGGGGCCTAGCCAGTCCCCACAGCCCCAAGGAGAGGCTGTTATCTCTAAGATGGGGTTGGGAGCAGCAGGAGAGGAGTCTTCAAGCAGAAGAGAAAACAAGGTGAGAGACTGTCCTGTGTCCGGGGTTAATGGCCTTCACTGGCAAGCGTTAAATCAAGTCCAGACAGGAATCCCACATAATATTCAAGTGTTAAAAGAGATTGAGAGAAGAGAAAGCAAGAGATAATTAATATTAAGTGGTTGTCTCTGGTCCTTGTATAAGAAAGAGTTAAGAAGATCAGGGCCACAGACATCAGTATGATCAAACACTCATCTGCATCAACAGACCCCATACCTCTGATCTGGTTAGACCATAGTAGAGCAAAAGACCTGAGCAAAAGTCTACCCCTGAACCCACAGCCTACCCACAGTAGAGCAAAAGAGCAAAAGTCTACCCCTGAATTCAGTTCTGATCTTCCAGGATAAACTCAGTGCAGAAGGCAGTGGATCCCCACCCTCTCTGACTTCAGAAAAAGAAAGGTTTTGGCACTTGCCCATTACTTTTTAAGATAATAGCATTTTTGATCGTCATTAAAAATAAATACATGAAAGGTTGCACGGACTACAAGGTAGGATATAACTTTGATCATTGTTCAGAGCTTTGCTGTGTCATGGAAGTGAATGAGGGAACTGCTCTTGGCCTTTTCTCTGTAAATTAATAATGGAGGACACAGATTTTTTTTTTCTTCATTTGCAGAAGTGATTTAAATTAATATACTGGAAAAAAAAATCCAATTTAATGATGGCTTTACTGAACTACTGGGTTGTATGGTTTGTTTTCTGCTTTTATTGGATTTTCTTTCAGGTTACAAGGCATGGTAAGTAAGCTGCTTTACTTCTTACATTCCACTAATTCATCTTTTCCTTCTGTTTGCTTCTTCCATAAAGTCGTAATCCAATACCCACACAACAATCATTTGCAGCATCTCAGCTAATTACATCACAGTGCTTTGAGATTTTTGGTGAGCATTAAATGACACGGTGACAGCTTTCTGCTTCCATATTTCTGCTGCCTATTTTTACATCTTCACCAGTAAATTAGAGAGAGTGCACAAAAAGGTCAACACATAGTCCAGAAGGAAAATGATCAGTGTTCTGTGCTTTCATAGTTTTTGAATGGTCCATAGGACTGATTTTTAGTCTGAAATTTCCCTCAAGAAATGGCAGTCAGTTGCATATAAGCTAAATGGAGGCCTTAAAGATTTATGCCATACTGTGGCTGTTCATTAGCCTGTGTGAAATAACCTGGTTCACCTGCAGTGTTATTTCTTACTGCAGGTTATCTACCTGGGAAAGGTATCAAGGCAACAAGGCTTCTGCACTACAAAAACAATCTGTCTAAACTATTCAGGAAAATCATAAAAGGTTCACAGTTAGGTTTGGATGTGCTATGCAGTATGAGTAGCAGAAAGAATGACAAATTAACAGGAAATAGCATTTTGATCTACGTCTTCATACTTCTGGTTGCACATCTTAAGAAGCCAAAAAAAAAAAAAAACGGGGGGGGGGGGGGGGGGGGGGAGGTTGGTTTGAGGAAGCCCACTTGGGATTAGGTGCCTATAAGATCACCATAGGCACGTCTCCCCTATGGCCCCCTATCCTATAACTCACTTCAACAATCAGGAGGTGATGCTCAAGTGCCTGTTGAGCACTGAATATTTCTGCCTGAAGAGAGGCTAGTTTCAAGCCAGCAAGTACATTTCCAGGGAAAAAACATCTTTATTAATGTATCCACTGTGCTGTGGCCTCTTCTGAAGCTTGTTGCTGAGCTTTTCAAGAGCTGTAAACATCCAGATGTCTCCCATCTCGACCCAGAGAGCTTCCTGAGAAGCTTTCCTAGCTCGCACTTATGTGGTTCATAGCTGTGACATGAAACATCTTTCACAATGGAAAAGAAAATCCCTTCATGTGACCATCAGGTCAACACTCTGTGGATCATTAGGCAGCCCAGCATAGGAGCACTGTTTTGAGGAACACAGTGGAGAGCACAGTAATGGACACTTCTGATCTGGCATATCCTAAATACTGAATACTTGGATAATTTATGCTTATGCATACAGTCCTTGGTGAGAGAACAAAACAAGATCTGATAATGTTTCTCTTAAGCAAGTCTCAACAAAAGCTTGTTTGACATGCAACGAAGCTGCTGTTTATTCTTCTTTTTTGGAGGCTTCATATGAATTTTTGTAGTCTTGGGTTATTGCCCTGGGAAATGGAATATAATTTGAGTGACTGAACACACTGTCTTTATTTTGACTTTGAGAAGGATTGGGTCTAAAAAACAAAGAAGCTTCCATGCGAGCAGCCCAGACAAGGGTAGCCTTTTCCATCCGAGCAAATTGTGCAGCAGGAACGAGATCTACAAACAACAATTAAAAACCCTGATGATGACTGCAAGCTGTACATTCTTATTGTGCTGATGGTTTGTGTGCTCCTTTACTCTTTTCACGTTTTCTCAGACAGCAAGAAACCCTGGTCTGTAGCAGAAAGGTCACACAAGTGAAGATGAGAAAGATGCTGGAGAGCTTCAGAGGGGGTGAGCCATCAGAGCAACCTATATGGAGGAGCAAAAGGTCTGTGAGGGATAACTGAGGCCACTACACATGAATTCCTCCACTGGAGGGATGTGATAGAGACAGAGAGAGAGCTCTGTATGTGTTGCAGTCACTTTGAGAGAGTTTCCCAACTTTCCTCCCCCAGCTGCATATCAAGACCAGAAGACGCAGGACCCCAGCAGACCAAGAATCTCCAGCAATCTCGTGGCTGCAGATACTTCTGGGACTGATGGCTGATATGAACAAATATTTAGGAGATTAAAAAACCCCTCTGGTATGACAGGAAGTATTTCTGTATTAACTTTGGTCAACACTAACAAACTTCAAGTTAATAAGTGCATTATCCCTACTTTCTGCTTTAGTACTGGTCCAATTAGAGGATCTCATGGTGAAAAAACTACCATATAAGCAATGTGTTGATTCATGAGAATTAATGGGTGGTTAAAATAAATAAAATAATAATAATAATAAAAAAAGGTAAAATGAACTATAAGCAATATTCTGGGTAACAGAGATAAGGAAACCATGTCTATTCTATTTAATCTATTATACTTTTTTTTTTATCTTGGTAATGTCTCTTTGAAAACGATGACAACATTTGTAGCTGCCTGAGGATTCTGTGGGAAAACATCTACTTTTTAGCAGTGTTATCTTCTCCATCTGTTCCTATGATTTCTGTGTACTGCTGTTGTGACAACAGATCAGTTACAGCTATTCTAGTTTCCAATTGAACTTAGATTAATGGGTCATTTTAAGGCCTTCTCTGAATCAACTGCATGCTCTACATAAGTTATATGTGAGTCAAGGTATTTTGTTGTCTAGAGAAGCAAAGAAAATGTTTTCTTGACCAATATATTGCTATATATTTTGCCCTACTTGTTCTTTTTCCAGTGGAAAATGGAGAAGAATGTAGTGCAGAATACCATGTAACTTTCTCTGTTTAGCTGTGTGATGTTAATATTTTATTTCGGTTATTTACAGTGTATAAACTTGGAGCTCAGTGAGGTAAATGGGGAAGCTGGAATTCACAAACATCACTGCTAGTCCCATGAACAGTTGAAGTCAACAGGTCTGAAACTCAGTGTGTATGAAACCGACTGTGCAAACACATAAACAGTCACTTAAAATGACATTTGCAACTTAGAGGTAAGAATACTTACAGAAATTATTCCATTTGAGCAAATTCGCCTTTCCCAGAAAGACCCTTCTGAGTCACTTGAAACTTCATATCTGACAAGGGAGAGGGAAAACCAGCTAAGAGCAGCCTGAAGCAACCAAGATCACTTGGTCAAGTGCAAGATCTGGGTTGTGACAACAAAAGGGGCTGTTACGTGGCAACTGATGAGAAGCAGGAGCGTGTTTGGCTTACAGCAGCACTAAAGTAAACAGGTAAGAGTGCTGGGCTGGATGGAGATGTGTGTCTGTTCCACACTGCAGAGTGCGATCTGAGATATCTAAACAAATTTCCAGCACATGCTCTGATGGCCATCCCCCTCTCCCACACCTGGGTTGAATTCAGGCATATAAGCAACCTTACTGCAGCCACTGTGACACAGCCACCAGTGGGAAGAAATCCAGCCAACTATTTAAATGGCTATTGATCCTAGGGACTCAGCAGTAGTCTCTGCAGTGACATTTACTGGGCCTCACTATGTGGCTGTGACCCACGTTGTCTTTGTAGGAGCATGACCTCTGTTCAATCCTGATGTGTTGAAGCAACTTCTTGATAACTTGCATCTCATCTGCTTCACAACTAAAGCCATAATCTATCTAGGAGAGGAGAGAAGAGGTTACTCCAGAAAGATTTGCCCTTATTCAGAGACACATAATGATGGCAAGTACAGCATTTTCCTTTGTCACTTGTTCCAGTAAGTCTCACAGCTGAAAATATCTGTTACTGTTTCTGATTTGATGATTCAAATTCACTTAGATTTAACCTTCAGATACTGACTATTTTTTTTTTTTTTTCCTCACACAGGAAATTGCACACAGAATCTGACCCTCTCTTCAGCCTGTTTTTTGAAGAATTAGAAGCTTCTTCCTGTCTCTGAGCACAAAAGCAGTTTTTCCAGCTTTCAGTTCATCTGGGCGACTCTCTGCTGCAGGCTCTGTACCCTTGCAAGTCCCTTTGAAAATCAGGACACCAGAATTACTTGCTGGTATCTATGTTGACAACGGAGCTAAATTTAATTCTCTGCTCCTCTGATTATATACCCAGGATCTAGGCTGCTGGCAATGCCCCAGGTAACTGCTGCTCCTTGTCTGGTGTCACCTCTTGAGCTGCCATAAGGGAGTTGTTATTCCTGAGGATCCTGTTGCCCACCCCATGACGATGGCCTGGCTTTTGTCTTGTGGCTCTTTGATGTGCAACCCCATTTGGCCATGGCATCACAGCACGTTTTGGCTCTAACCTCACACTTGGTGCAGGGCACACCCAGAACTGCTCATGGATTCCCCAGTCTGGAGATAAGGGTTGAAGCTCAGATTCAGTGAGTGATGGAAGTCGTTCTGCATCACTGTTCCTTCCTCATCATTGTGCATCTCTTCATCATTTATCCATGTTGCTAGGAATAATTTTTATATACTTCTCAACTGAGAAAGTTCAACTCTAATATAAATCCCTGCAGAACAATGCTAGAAATGACCCCTTGACAAATAGTTTAATAGCTTAAGACATTTAGTGTGTTGTATTGGTAGCGCTAGCCCATGTGTCACACAGGACTCCTGTAAGGAGAATCCAAGAGTATTTCTTCTGTCAAGCTCCTTTATCATGCAAACTGGTAATCTTGTCAAGAAAGGAAAGACTTTTCTTTTTTTACAAACATTGATTTTCCATAAAGCTATGTGGATCAGCATTAATTAAACTCTCTGACTCTGCTTCTTCTTCCGTTTTCAAGGCCTTTTGTTATTTTTTATTTGCTAATGTCTAATGTCAGGCTCAACAGCTGAAATCAGGCTGCTGCTGACACAGAATCAGCATGTTCCCACGCTTCTGGGATTTGTATGATGCTCTGAGATCTCTACAAAATTATTATCAGAAGAGGTCATTTTTCTTTTTTGCTAACACTAATAAAAATCCTCAATCGTATTGAATAGTTTGTCATCTCCCTCTAGCAATCGGATGGTACTGCAGATAGTATTTTGCTCCTGGTAGATGGAAAACAGGCTGTCCTTCTTCTCAGCGCAGCCAGCCAGCACAGCACCCTGTCACCAGCAGTGCACGAAAGCAATAGATGAGGAAAGCTGATAAGCACAGGTGAACCGCCCCAAGTTCTCTGCCAATAGCCAGTCACAGTACTCATATTTCTCTTGTTTTCCTACACAGTGTATTTTCTAATTTGTATTACTTGCCTTTACATTCCCTACATTCACTATTATGTGTATGTCCATAGGTGTATCCAATCTCACAAGCTTCCTCTATCGTTATTAAAATCTTAAAGAATTACATATGCATTTGTCGAAGCTCCCTTGATTGCAGAAGAGGCACTTTATAGCCCTGGCTGAGAAAACTTTTGGATGTGCCACTTCAGTACCTGTTGATGCATATTCCTTGTACTGACCTGCCTAATGGAATGCAAATCCCAACTGAATAGCTGTATTCCGTTGTTGGCTTGCTCAGGGAACACGTTTACACAAACTCCTTTTTTCCTCCCCATTGAATAGTTGTGAGTCCATAGAGCGATTTTTCAGCAGCTTTTCACATATTTGCTTATAAATATTAGAATATGTATAAATACGACATATTTACAAGACAGATCAATTGATGACCTGACTATGCAGAAGCATCTGTAAAAGTAAGATATCTAGCAGATAGCAAGAATACTGTTTACTTTAGTGCCTTGCCATAATCTAATTAATCTTATCAATTATTATGTACTTGTAGACCAAACAGGCATGCTGTAGAGAGAAAAGGAGAGTGTCTTTAGATGGCTTTGCCAATTGGAGAGTGCACTGTATGAGAGCATGTGTCATTCATTTAATTTAATTTATGATTAACAACTCCTTAACATGATTAGCACTTCTCTAATTGTGATTGACATGAGAAGTAGTTCATCAGTCTTTCCACGTATGCAGCTTCATTGATTGTTAAAATGGAAAAGCAAACGCATTTGGCAGTCAGCAGTCCAGCATTTTGGAAAGTTCCAGGGGCTCTTCCAGCAACGTCCCAGTAAATCTCTAATTACATCTGACATGAATGGCTTTACCCGTATCCCTGTGTTTTTTTTTAAAGCTGGCATTTGTCTCTCGTGTTGAGATGGTCTCCAACAGGTGGCCTTTCGTTGGACAGCTACCAAGCGACACTGGTGGCAGCGAAAATCTGCTTCTGCAGATGAAATACATGGGATATGACAGAGTCAAAAGGCAACATAAAGTGCAAGGGAAATGTATCCAGATAAGCTGTGGTCAGTTCTCTTTTTTCCAGTTTTCTTTTTCTTTTTAAAGATCAGCTTATCTGACCTCTGCTCTTCCCTTAAAAAGCCTGGATTTACCCACTCACTGACTTCAGATTTAGTCCAAGGGCATTCAGGAGGCAAACACTGTGTTAATTCTTTCCACTCCATGTGCTGTGAGAAAAGTGTTTGTTGTAGAGTGCGTTCTCTTTTTAAAAAATAAGCTCTTGCTCATCAAAATTTACTCCTTCTTACAGTTGTTTTTTTTTTTTGGTACCACACGGTGAAGCCGATGCAGCTCTGTGGCTTAATATCATTGTGTAGGGCCTTTTGTTTAAGGTAACTCAGTACTTCATAGGAGAAGAAGTAGACTTCCTTCTTTCTGCTAGGTTGCATACAGCCTCAAGGATATCTCAGACATTGGCCTAACTTCCCAGGCAGTGAGGGAACTGCAGAGACCTCAGCCCACCTCCAGGCTGGGGCTATTTCCTCCCTGTCAGAAGGTTTCAAAATTAAATCTTCTTCCAAGCGGCTGTAAACTGGTCCCTGTGGTCTGAGCCTCTAAAATTGCATTAGGGGAAGGAGGATGTTGTAGATGGCGGCTGGCATGGAAATCCCAAGTGCAAACCCTCCCTGTTTTTCTTAAAGTTTGCAAACACAGAGGTTAGGTTAGATAACCACAGTGATAATAACATAAAGACACATTTAACATTGAGTGCTTATACTCTACGGGCATTGCTTTTGCAGAATGAAAGGCCTTTAGACCGTCCTTCAGTGGCAGTGTCTATTGAGACCAAGCCCCATCTTTACTGCAGTGCTTTCTCTGTGGTACTCAGCTCCAGATGCACGGTTGAATGTAAAGTTACAGGTGAACGGGGACTACCGAGTATGAAAGGAGAAGCAGATCTGCCCTCTTGTGTGCAAGGCATCTACTGCAATGAATCCGAAATGAATCTGGAGTGAATTTGCTCTTTGTAGTAATAAATGAGGAAAACATATCAGTGTTTTAACATTAACATGAAATGAAAAATGGGAAGAGAAAGAATGAAGGCTGATGTTCAAGGTTTAAAGGTGATTTCTTTTGATGAACTAGTTTGTGAATCTGAAGGCAGTAGACTAACGAGAGTAGCATATACAAGAGAAGGTGTTCTGAATATCAAGGCTAAAAAACTTAAGGATAAGAAAGTATGAGTAGTAAAAAACCCTCTGAATAAATCTAAGTGCCAGGGAAACTCAACTAGCTGCAAAATTATTACCCATAAAAGTAAGCCTTTTTTAATTATTATTTTTTTTATTTATTTGTGAATGTAATAGCTTGAGCATTTTCATTGCACTCATCACAGCAGTAAAGGCTGTGAGGGGTTTCGGCTGAGGTAAGCATATTTTGCTAGCCTTAATTAAGGCAGAAAGGGACACAGGGCAGCTGACTACACACGGCTGGTAAGGTCGGGCTGAGCTTACGCATCCTCCACTCTCTTGCTGTTTCCTTCTGAAAATTCACGACCAGCTGCCTTAGACCCATACCTTCCCAAATGCCATATAGTAGAGACTTAAAAAATGATAACCATGGAAAGCTAGTCAACAAAATTAGAAAACAACGTTCTTGACTAAGAATCAATAGTGCAGCATGGACTGTTTTCAGGATAAGGCTTGGTCTTGCTCCACTCTCGTACTGGCAGGCCCAGCGGTCAGTGGCCTTATAACTCACTGCTCACTTTTTGCAGCACTAAAGAAGAATCTGAGAGTAGATCATGGATCTACAGCCCAATAAAGCAATTTGGTGTGAAATCTGCATGCAGTTTTCTGCACGTGGGTGGTGGAAAAAGGTTTATTTGCAATTTGTCTCCATTGCTCCAACGGTACAGTAGAACTGATGGCATCCCTTTGTCTCTTCTTCACAACAAGAAAACAATTATAGTTTTGGCCTGTAGATAAAGCAAGATGCAACAAAATGAATAAACTCTGCCCTATATAAGAATTCCATCATACATGGAAGTGATACATGCTGGTTAGCTACTTTTTCCTGCAGTTCTCACACTCTCGTTTCATCAGAGTCTGTGCAAGCAGTGCAGTGAAAAAAGCAATAGAGCAATCTCACATGAACTGGACTACTTTTCTCTGCAGCAAAACTGCATCAGCAACTAATGTGACTCCATAGACCGCAGGTACATGTAGCATCATTCCATTATAAAAAGCCCTGGCTACCTTCCCAAGGCCAAACATGAATACAAAAATGAACCAAGTAAATTTTCTGCCAATGAGATAAAAATTATTCTTCCGATTCCATCTTTGTTAATGGTCAACTGACCCATGTTAAATTGATTATTGCAGACTTGGGGGACTGTGTCTTTTTACGCTTGTTTGTGTTATTAAATGGTGTAATTAGCATCTGTCTGACTTCTGAGGTTGCACTTTGAAACAGCAATGCTCTGTTTCAT